ATGGAACCAAAAAAGAGCCCATATAGCCAAGACAATCCTAAGCAGAAAGAACAAAGCTGGAGGTATCACGCTACCTGACTTCAAATTATACTACAAGGATACAGTAACCAAAACAGCATGGTACTGGTACCAAAACAGATGTGTGGGCCAGTGGAACAGAACAGAGGCCTCAGAAATAATGCCACACATCTACAACCATCTAATCTTTGACAACCTGACAAAAGCAATGGGGAAAGGATTCTCTAATAAATGGTGTTGGGAAAACTGACTAGCCATATGCAGAAAACTGAAACTGGACCCCTTCCTTACACCTTATACAAAAATTAACACAAGATGAATTAAAGACTTAAACATAAGATCTAAAACCATAAAAACCCTAGAAGAAAACCTGGGCAATACCATTCAGGACATAGGCATGGGCAAAGACTTCATGACTAAAACATCAAAAGCAATAGCAACAAAAGCCAAAATTGACAAATGGGATCTAATTAAATTAAAGAGCTTCTGCACAGCAAAAGAAACTATCATCAGAGTAAACATGTAACCTACAGAATGGGAGAAAATTTTTGTAATCTATCCATCTGACAAAGGGCTAATATCCAGAATCTATAAGGAGCTTAAACAAATTTACAGGAAAAAAACAACCCCATCAAAAAATGGACAAAGGTTCTGAATCGACACTTCTCAAAAGAAGACATTTATGTGGCCAACAAACATAAAAAAAAGCTCATCATCACTGGTCATTACAGAAATGCAAATCAAAACCACAATGAGTACCATCTCACACCAGTTAGAATGGTAATCATTAAAAAATCAGGAAACAACAGATCCTGGAGAGGATGTGGAGAAATAGGAATGCTTTTACACTGTTGGTGGGAGTGTAAATTAGTTCAACCATTGTGGAAGACTGTGGTGATTCTTCAAGGATCTAGAACCAGAAATACCATCGGACCCAGCCATCCCATTACTGGGGATATTCCTAAAGAATTATAAATCATTCTATAAAGACACAGTCACACATATGTTTATTGCAGCACTGTTCACATTAGCAAAGACTTGGAACCAACTCAAATGCCTATCAGTGATAGACGGGATAAAGAAAATATGGCACATATATACTACGGAATACTATGCAGCCATAAAAAAAGGATGAGTTCATGTCCTTTGCAGGGACATGGATGAAGCTAGAAACCATTATTCTCAGCAAACTAACAGAGGAATAGAAAACCAAATGCCACATGTTCTCACTCATAAGTAGGAGTCAAACAGTGAGAACACATGGACACAGGGAGAGGAACATCACACACCAGGGCCTGTTGCTGGGTGGGGGCCTAGGGGAGAGAGAGCATTAGGAGTAATACCTAATGTAGATGATGGGTTGATGGGTGTAGCAAACCACCATGGCACGTGTATACCTATGTAACCTGCGCATTCTGTACATGTATCCCAGGACTTAAAGTATAATAAAATAAACCAATAATAAAAATCAACATAAAAGTAACAAAATCCACTGTTCAGAGATTTAAAAAGAAAAGAAAATGTGGTACATATACACCATGGAGTACTATGCAGCTATAAAAAGGAATGGAATTATGTACTTTGCAGGGACCTGGATGAAGCTGGAAGCCATCATCCTCAGCAAACTAGCACAGAGACAGAAAAACAAACACTGCGTGTTCTCACTTGTAAGTGGGAGTTGCAATGAGAACACATGGACATGGGAAGGGGAACATCACACACCAGGGCCTGTTGTGGGCTGGAGGGTGAGGGGAAGGAACTTAGAGGATGGGTCAATAGGTGCAGCAAACCACCATGGCACTTGTATACCTGTGTAACAAACCTGCACGTTCTGCACGTGTATCCCCCCACTTTTTTTTAAGAAGAAATAAAAACAAAAAAAAGAGCCCTGACAGTAGATAGATTAGGTAGTGGTTTTGAGTCACAGACCCCTTTGCAAGAATCTGATGGAAACTATGAACTGTCTCTGTAGAAAAATTAAAATTGTTCATATTGTTTGAGGGAGTTAATGGACTCTAAAGCCCATCCAGGGACCCCAGAATAGTAGCCCCTGTATTATGCATTCAGGTGTTTTGGTTTTTTTTAACATACAGCTGGCTAGATATGGTGGCTCACGCCTGTAATCCCAACAGTTTGGGAGGCCAAGGAGGGAGGATTGCTTGAGCCCAGGAGTTCAAGACCAG